AAAAGGAGCCACAGGGGGGTGGGAGTCGCAAAAACTGTCATTGTGTCCTTAGGCAAAGCACTTCAGCCACATTGCCTAATATGAAAGTGCTGTGTGTGAATGATGGTGGTCAGAGGGGTCAGATTGGCAGCCTCACTTCCATCAGTCTGTCTCAGGGCAGCTGTGGCTACAGTAGTAGTTTACACCACTGAGTGTGGAGTGAGTGAATAATGTTCTGTAAAGTGTCTTTGAAAAGCGCTGTATAAAACTGATGCATTATTATTATTCTTAGATTAGACTTGATTGATTGATTGATTTGTGATAAAATGTGAATAAAAAGTAATAAATGAACATGTCAAAAATGAAATCACTCTTTTGTTGATCAAAATATAATAAAAATCTTAAACCAAAATTAGTTCATTGCAAAAACACTGATTCTAATTGGGGTCATTTTTGAGCCCATCACTGAAGAGTGTAGGTGTTGGTGGGTCATGTATCCAACAGTAAAGATTAAAACGACAAGGCCACAGCAGCAGGTACAGACAGAGGAGCCACAAGCACCAGAGTCAGAAGGAGCCAGAAGAGCCACATGTGAACTTCCTGTTTGGAACGTGGCAGCTAAAGCGTCAGTTCTGTCCATTTATACATGGTTCCTCTGAAAAAAACAAGACTTAAAGATAAATGTCACTTCTTTACATTAAACATAGAATAAGTTTGGCCCTCGGGTCATTGAGACGTGTTCATCTGGATCACGGAGGAAACATGTTTGAGCACCTCAGTGTAGACCCCGACACAAACCCTGTCAGAAACCCTGTCAGTGTAAACCCTGTCAGAAACCCTGTCAGTGTAAACCCTGTCAGAAACCCTGTCAGTGTAGACAACCCTGTCAGAAACCCTGTCAGTGTAGACACCTGCAGAAACCCTGTCAATGTAGACCCTGTCAGAAACCCTGTCAATGTAAACTCCGGCAGAAACCCTGTCAGTGTAGACCCTGTCAGTGTAAACCCTGTCAGTGTAAACTCCGACAGAAACCCTGTCAGTGTAGACCACGGCAGAAACTGTCAGTATAGACACCCGCGGTATCCCTGTCAGAGTAGATTCTGGCAGAAACCCTGTCAGTGCAGACCCTGTCAGAGGCCCTGGCGTGTGTCAGGTGTGAGTGATCGTCTCTGGTGGTTCTCAGAGCCACGATGAAGTCACAGCTCATGAATGTAACTGCTCCAGCTGCTGGTCCCACTCACACACACACACACACACACACACACACACACACACACACACACACACACACACACACACACACACGCACACACACACACACACACACACACACTCTTTCCATGCAGAGCTGTCAGAGTCTTGGCTGTGTTTCTCATTTCGCTCTGCACATGTATTAATAACCGGACTTCAGAGTGGATCATTATGTCACCGAGAGGATCTGATCCGGCTCCTGTGCAGCAGATCTGCGGCGGCAGCGGCGGCGGCGTCACCAGAGCGTCCTGGGGGGGGCGGGGCTTCATCCGTGTGTTTGTGCTTTCATATAAACCCCCGTTTGTCTTACGTAACGAGAGGACAGACACCACAGCAGCGGGACTCCACAGCTCCGCGACGGAAATACTCGTGACCTTTGTGGGACCTGCCGGGGCTCACGAGGACTCAGAGGGTTAAAGGGCCCCGATCACACTTTTCACACTGTTCACACTGTTCACACTGATCTGTTCTGATGTGGATGTGTGAATGAAACAAAACACAACTCCAACTCTGAGTGCGACGAGGAAACATTAGAACACGACTTAAAGCCTCACAGAGTCAGAGTTTTGTGTGACAGAGGAGCCTTTACGTCCCTACGACCGTTAAAACGACTCATTTTACTAAAACACTGTGAAGATCATTATAAGAATTTACTAAAAATATGACTTTTCTTTCTTCAGTTTGGTCATTTTTTTTAGGTTTCAAAGGGAATTCCATCACCGTTACCATAGCAACCGCATCAAACACTGGGCTGAAACTGCTCTAATGTCACCACCAGATTATGATTTGAGTGTTTCTTGTGTAAATTGTGCCGAACATTTGGACAGAATTCTCCCAGTGTGAAACAGAATCTTCTACCTTCTGTCATTTTCAACACGTTTTCAAGTTTTCTTTGCCAGTTGCTTCTTGATTTGTGTAAATCTAAAACTGTTAAATCTAATTGAAGAGGTTTTATCAGGATACATGAAGTCCACATGAGAGAATCTCCACGGGCTCTTGAAAGCCGCGCTCGCTCCAGCACGCCGCGAGTGTGCCGGGCTAAAAGCGTCTGGCTCGGCTCCATGCCCCACATACTCCGCATGACTCGCATCTCCTGATTTAAAACAACGCACACAATGTTACGGCCGCGCGAGCTCCTCCAACGAGCACAACTGTCCCAAAAGATCAGCCGAGCATCCAGCGCGTAAACACCAGGGAGTCTGTGTGACAGCTGTCTTCAGCGCAGAGGGAGCTTCAGAGTCTTCAGGTCTTCAGGTCTTCAGTCTCAGGGTCTTCAGGTCTTCAGGTCGTCTTCAGGTCGTCTTCAGCTGGAGCGCAGAGGAGGTCTCAGGTCGTCTTCAGGTCAGTCTTCAGTCGTCTTCAGCTTCAGTCAGGTCGTTCAGGTCGTCTTCAGTTGGAGCTCAGTCTTCAGGTGTCTTCTTCAGGTCGTCTTCAGGTCGTCTTCAGCTGGAGCTCAGGAGCCTCAGGTCTTCAGGTCATCTTCAGCTGGACCTCAGAGGTGCCTCGTGTCTTCAGGTCATCTTCAGTTGGAGCTCAGGAGCCTCGTGTCTTCAGGTCATGTTCAGGTTGTCTTCAGGTCGTCTTCAGCTGGACCTCAGAGGAGCCTCGTGTCTTCAGGTCGTCTTCAGGTCGTCTTCAGCTGGAGCTCAGGAGCCTTGTGTCTTCAGGTCGTCTTCAGGTCGTCTTCAGCTGGACCTCAGAGGAGCCTCGTGTCTTCAGGTCGTCTTCAGAAACAGGAGCTGCTGCAGGTCGGACATTTTCAGCAGAGTTTGTTTTGATAGAAGAACGTGTTGGAGAGCAGGACTCGACTGGTTCAGCGCGAGCGTCGTGCGCAGCGTCAAACGACTCAGTGTCACGTCACAGAGTTCAGCTCCAGTCAAATGAAGCTCACTGAGGCGAGCCTAAATCTGGAGCCAGGTTCATACCACGAGAAGGAATAATATTTACAGACAAAATGTTGAAATAAAAAAAAAAACAGGATCATGTAGAGCGAGTTAAGACCAACATTTTAAGACCAAACTGAGGACCTGACAGCAGCAGGTCCAGAGAGAGTAATGTGTGTGTGTGTGAAGTAATTTGTAGCCAGAACTGATGGAGCCGGAAGCGCGCCCATGCACACGCAGACTAACTCTGTTCACATTTAATAAACAAAAACAAAGAGCTCGTGTCTCTGGAGCTCAGGGTGAGACCCTCAGAGCTCAGGGGCCGTGTCAGAGGAGAGTGGCACTCACGTTTACGTCGTTCTGTCTCTTGGTCCTCCACGGAGGAGGTGCAGAGGCAGGTGCAGAGGCAGGAGCAGTGGCAGGAGCAGAGGCAGGAGCAGTGGCAGGTGCAGAGGCAGGAGCAGAGCTGGTCCCTGGGCTCTCTGTGCTGCTGCTGCTGGCTTGGTTCTTCTCTGTGTGTCCGTTGTGTGAGGGCAGCTCCGTGCTCTGGTCCTTCAGTCGGCTCAGACCTTCCACCAGGCGACTCAGAGCTTCCAGTTTGGCGCGGAGCTGCTGGTTTTCCTCCTGCAGCCTGGAGACGGCGTCGGCCAGAGGAGCCTGCGACACCAGCATCTCCTCCACCCTCTGCTCCATCCTCTGCTTGAACGCGCTCACGTCCACGTGCACCTCGCGCACCGCCGCCTGTAACGTGGACTCGAAGTGGACCAGAGCCCGGGTCACCGCCGGGTCCTGCGGGGCCTCCATGGTCGGGTCCGTGGTGGTGGTGGGGGTGGGGGGCGCCTCTGGTTCTGTGCGCGCAGGTCCGGCTCCGGGCTCCTCAGAGGACCTGCTGCAGACGGACGGAGGGACGGAGTGACAGAGTGAGGGGCGCTCTCTGCTCCGGGGGGAGTGTGGGGCGGGAGGGGGTGGGGGTGGGGCTGGAGGGGGGGCGTGGCGTTTGGAGAGGGGGGGGGGGGGGGTCACGGCAGTGCAGTCGCGGGCCGTGGTTGGTCGCTGTATTTTGGGACATAAAGGAGGCGGCAAAGGTCAAACGGGGGGCGGGGCCTGACGGAGTGTTTTTCTGGCTCAGTGCAGCTGCTGCTCTCACCACCGAACACTCATTATGATTTTAACCAACGACAAGAACGACTCATTATCACATCAGTGCGATTTTATTTTGTATTTAGTCACAAGATAAACAGATACAGAGATAAAAGAATAAAATAGAACAAAATAAATAGATCGATACTTTATCGGCAACAGCAGCATTTACAGATTTATGTTTTATTTACGTCTCACCCTGACAAACAAACTGACACAAACTGAGTGACACAAAGTTAAACTATTGTAATTAATAATAATAATAATAATGATAAAAAGAAGAAGAAGAATACATATTTATCTATAAAGCAATACAAAAAGCATAAAAATAGCAAACAGAAAGCACAAAAACAGACAATGATGCAAATAATCCAATTAATTATAATAAATCAATAAAAAGAAATAGAATAAAATAAATAAGACAAAACCAGTTAAAGAAAGGCTGTTGATAAAAATGGGTTTTCAGAAGTGATTTAAAGGACGATACTAATGGTAAATGTAAAGAAAAGTCACAGCGCCGCTTTGTGGCCGAAACATTACAGTGTTCTCATAAACTTAAATAAATAAAATAAAACCACATTCTCAAAGTCAAATTTAGTGAAGACAAACCTCGATTCAAACTTTGATAATCTGAATAAATCTGACTGTGATAAATAAAATTTAAAAAAACTTGTGAGTTTTGTGTTTTACGCTGAAAGTGTAGCACCGGAACTTCCGGTCAGTCCGTCACACAGAGTGTTCCGCCGCTGAAGAAGAAGAAGACCCCCTCGCGCGCTGCGGGACTCTGGATGTGCGGGTTTGTGTTGCGGGACACGCGGCTCCGGCCCGCGGGGGGACGATGATCCGGGCCCCGGCACCGCAGCGGGACGAAGAGGAGCGGCCCGCGGGTGAGAGTCTGAACATCAGTGTCCCGAGTCCCGAGTCCCGGTTCTTGCTCCTTCAGAGGATCCGGGATATTTCCAGTTGTTGCTATGGTAACCAGGGCACAGGTTTGACCCGGAGCTGAACGCGGAGAAACGTTTTTAACTTCAGACTTTTGAACAGATGTATTAAAAACAAACAAACAAACAAACAAAAAAGAGACAAAGGTTCAGGTGAGAACATGAGAGTGTGGAACTTCAGGAACTTCAGGAAAAATCATTTTGAACAGAAGAAAAATAAAACACAAAGTCACAGAGTCAGTTTAATTTAAGAACGACACAATAATAAACAGTAATTCACATTGTACATTTCATTTCTCTGTTACTACTATACATTTTCTTTACTTCATTATTATTATTATTATTATTTTAATGATTTTTCTGTATATATTTGTGTCCTTGTGTCACACCTGGAGCAGCACACTGCACTTTTAAAACTGTTCATTAGAGATGTAAAAATCACCCAAATATCGTGATATCGTATCATCAAAAGTCTCTCGATAATATCGTGGGTCGTCAGAATATATCGAATCACAAGTTTCTTTGCTTAAATTTATTGTTTTGGTGCAGCAACAGCTTAAAATAAATAAATAAAACAGAAAAAAAAAAAAATAAAATAGAACAGAAAAAAGAAATAAAATAATTAAAATAAAATTAAAAAAACAGAAATAATAGCAATAAAATAAAAAAATAACTAAAAATAAAACAGCAAAAAAAAAAAAAACAAACAAACAAAGGGAACTACATTTCCCATGATCCTTTGCTCCATTTCAGTGCAGACGACAAGAAGAAATAACAGTTCTGACACTTTTAACTCTTAGTTCTTTGGATTAAATCTTGTCGAGGTATTTTAAGATAAAAAAGTTGCATGTTCACAGTTTTTTTAGCCTCCACAAAATATCACAATAAATATCGAACCGTGATTTTTATCGTGAAAATGTCGTACAGAGAGATTTGGATTTCGTTACGTCTCTAATGTTCAGTAAATAAAGTCAATTAAAAAAAACTCCTGGTGGGAGTTTGAGTCGTTTTGGGAAAGTTTGTGTTTGTTGAGTTCGCACACGCTCAGTCCAGCTCCAGTTCAGAGAAACCAGGAGAGTCCAGAAACCGGATCAGAACCGGGACTCGAGGGACGTGAACAAAAATCTCACTGAGTCTGATTTGACTCAAACTGTGAGTTTAAAAAAAAACACCAGACTCTGTTTTCTGTTCTGACGTCGTTTCCTCGTCGCACAAACCTGGACTTGTGTTTTTGTTTCATTCACATGTTTAAGTTCTTCTCTCAAGCTGAAAACTCTCTGTTCCACCTCGTGATGTCATCGTGTGCTGATACAGGAAGTGCTCCACTGCGTTTTTAAACTCCAAACATCTTCACTAGAATCATCTGGATCATTTTGTTCAGTCCTGGAGTCGCTGATCTCGACTGAACTAAATGTAAATCTGCTTCACGACGTCACAAGTCGAGTTTTCAGGCCGACAGAACCGAGCAGGTGGAAAGTCGGTTCTCGACGGGAACCGAGAAGAACTTTAGTTTTTTTTTTTTCCAAGTGAACCGTGACGACGCAGTGAACGTGAGCAGGTTCCTCCGAGTCACACGCGGGAAAATAAACAAATAAAACAAACGTGTGTGTGGAACGTGGAGAGAAATGAAGAGACAGAAGATTGAGCCGAGGTCAGAGGACGAGAACAAATATTTACTGTGTCCGTGTTCGAGCGGCGAGGTTCAAATCTGTGGACGAGCAGATGTTTGTTCACAGCAGATGTTTGGAGCTTTGTAGATGTAAACAGACGAATAATAAAGATTTACTCAAACATGTGAATGAAACAAACACGACTCGAGGTCTGATTCTGAGGAGGAAACATTAGAACATTTGAACACGACTTAAATCTCAGAGTGAGTTTTTTGTGTTTCAGGAGATTTAAAGTGGAGCAGAGCAGAGACGAGTCCAGAGAGTCTCCAGATGAAAGAGGAACCCGAAGAACCGAGCGTCGAAGAAGAGGAGGAAGAACCGAGCGTCAAAGAGGAGGAAGAACCGAGCGTCAAAGAGGAGGAAGAACCGAGAGTCAAAGAGGAGGAGGAGCAGCTGCACCTGTGAGCCTCAAACTCTCAACAATAACAACACACGGAGTTATTTAGTGCAGGTTTAATGAACGTTTGTTTTGTTGTGTGTTTGTTGTGTGTTTGTTGTGTTTGTTGTGTGTTTGTTGTGTGTTTGTTGTGTGTTTGTGTGTTTCAGGTGTGTTCCTGAGTCCAGTGCTGTGGACGTGAAGACAGAAGAGTCAGAACTTCTCCACAGACACAGTGAGCACAACAGACACACACACGTCCACTCAGACACACACACACGTCCACTCAGACACACACACACGTCCACTCAGACACACACACACATCCACTCAGAGACACAAGGGCTGTTCACACCAAAGCGTCAAAAAACACCTTGACGTTTCTATTTGGAGCCTTTGCATTTGAGTTCAGACGCCCCCGACGCTCGTGTCTTTGACGTCGTGGACGAACGGGACAAAAATACTTCACGTGCGTCCGTTGCCCTGGAAACAAGAGCCCGGTCCTGGACTTTTCCCGAAACAATGTCAGACCAGACTGAGAGACTTTAGTGTTTTTATCACATAAAACATCAGCGGAGGAAATCGACTCGACGACTGGAGCGAGTTTATATTTATACTCCACTAATGACACTGGATCAGTCCTGGTTTAGTATCGGTCTATCCAGGGTCTAGTCCTTGTTTAGTCTCGGTCTAGTCCTAGTTTAGTCCTGGTTTGGTCCTGGTCTAGTCCTGGTTTAGTCCTGGTCTGGTCCTGGTGATGGTCTCGGTGTTTGTGGTGTTTATATTCATGTTTCGTTCATGTTTGTGGTTCTGGGGTTTTTCTTCCTGATAATAACGTCGCTGTGTCTCTGGATACTCGTCCCTGATTGGTCGACGCGGCGCTTCTGACGCGAAAAGTTCAGCATTTTCAACTTCTTGACGCTGACGCCTCGGACGCGCTTCTAGAGCATCGACGCCAAAACGCTCAAGACTCGCCACGTCGACGCCAGATTCACGCCGCGCAGAGGCCAAAGACGCGCCGCAAAAACGCAGGACGCTCTAGTCGCGCGTCCACATCGACTTTACATAGAAACTGGACGATTTGACGCTTTGGTGTGAACGAACCTACACACACGTCCACACAGAGACACAAACGTCCACTCAGACACAGAGGGAGACACGTCCACTCGTCTGTCACAGGTGAAGACTGGAGAGCTCCTTTCAGCTGTTCACTCACTGTCAGAAACTCTTTTCTCTTTCATGAACAATCAGATTTTATGGATATTTTTAAAAACTCCTCAATCACACAAAACACGTCCAAGTGTTCTAAAGTTCTAATAACATTTACGCTCTGGAATCCGGATGGTTCACAACTTTTATTTTCGACCTTGTTTGTGAACACACCGGAAGAGCTACAAAAAAAATGAAATAAAAGAATTAGTTCTTACAGTGAAAACCTTTTACTCTTTTTAACCATTTAACCTTTTATTCCCCTAATGACAAACTCTAATCTGATCAACAAACACTATCAACAAATCTCATAAAGCCTGAACTTTGATATTTATCTCTTGAACAATGAAATTAAACATTAAAATGACATTTGCATAAGTGAAGCGCACTGGCTCCATCTACTGGATAAAATTATAACGCGTTGGCACTTTGCTGAAAAACAGAAACATTTCCAAATCAAAGTATTTCCAGTTTTATTCTACACAAACTTTATTCCCTCCTCATCAAGACCAACCAAATATTCACTTATTTAACTCTGAACTACTTGTAGATTAAACTTAAACTTTCTGTTGTGCTGTTTGTCAGTTTGCCCGGACGTAAACATCCTGAACAGTGTCCCTTCAAAATAAAAGCATGAACTAAAATTTTGCAACAAACGCATTATAATACTTGTAAACAAAATGATCAGAAGTGCAGAAAATATATGAGCTCATTTCCACTGTCGCCGCGGTGACCTTTGTCCTCACGTCCCTGCAGGTGTCCAGATCCCCCGAGTGAGTCCGGACCTGAACCGGGAGCCTCCAGAGAGTCTCCGGGTTAAAGAGGAGCCCGAAGAACCGAGAGTCAAAGAGGAGGAAGAGCAGCTGCACCTGTGAGCCTCAAACACTGACAACTGATGCTTTTAATTACCGTATTTTCCAGAGTTTAAATCTCACCAGCCAAAAAATGAATAATGAAGAAGAAAAAACACAAGTCACATTTTTTTGGGAAGTGTATTTTATAAACTGAGAGATCAGGAGCCGACATTTCCTGTGTGAAGTGAAGTTGTAGTAAAAAAAAAAACAGAACAGAACAAGTTTAAAAACTCTCCATCTCACTCCAAATCACTAAATCACTTCAATTCTTCATCCTCCGACAACTCGAGCTGAATCTTCTGAGTCTTTTAACCTGCGATGAGCTTTTTTTGTTTTCTTCGTTTGCAGTTCGAGTTTCCTTCGCTTTTCTCCAGTCAAACACAAGTTTCTCGCTCGTTCCAAACTTTCTTTCCGCTGCTCGATTCCCGTTTTCAGCTGCAGATTTCAAATCCGCGTGTCGTTCGTTCGTTTTTCAAAAACACTGACAACTAATGCTTTTAATTATATTTTATTTTTGATAAACAAATATTGAGATCAGATTTGTTTAACAGGAAGTTGATAATAATGAAGGAAAAGGAGAAGTTCAATTTGTCGACTGGACAAAAGTTTATTTGGTCAAATACGTTTCTCAGCTCATCCAAGTTTCTTCTTCAGTTCTGCTCAGACGCTGGTGACACTTCCTTATCTCTGTCTGCAGGAGGAGCTAACTACACTGAAACTACTCTGAAACTAACACACACTTGTTTACAGTTCCAGAGTAGTTTCAGTGTAGTTAGCTCCTCCTGCAGACAGACGTAACGAAGTGTCACCAGAGTCTGACAGAACTGAAGTCTCTGCACCCGACGCAAAACAGAGCGGCGCGAGACACATTTAGAAAACTCATCGTTGACGGGAGCGAGCGGGTGGGACGATAAACTCCAGTCCCACAAACTAAACATGAGTGTAAATTAAAATATACAAATGATTCATGTTTGCCTCATGCTTCATTTGTGGTGGAGATTTGATTTGGCCTCAATAAAAACATTTTAAACGGACTAAACTTGCAGACGTGCTCTAATCTCGCGCACATTTTAGACAATTCCTTTCCGCTTCTCCGTGTTTAGAGCTTAAGAAAAAGAACGTTCACATATTGTGGGATTTGCAGGCGAGAGTGGAACAAAATATCACAGATGCAGGTGGGAGCTGAAAATTCAGTCCTGCACAGACCTCTAAACTAGGGATGGGCATGATTAGTCGATTAATCGATAATTGATCATTAAGAATTTCATGGATTACGTTCATTTTAATGGACAAACTGAATGTATGTTTGTGTGTCGTGACCAAACAGGTGTGTACATGTGTCTCTGCATCAGAAGGAGCGACACACAAACAGTGGGTCAGTCTGTAACGAACCGAAGCACAAATGTGGATTTAACCAGGATTTGTAGAAGAAATTCCACACTTTCCGTTGCGTTGGGACAAGTGTGAGTCCATGTGCACAGTGGATAAAGCAGCACATATGTTTCTGTGTCCAGTGGGAAAAAGTTTTTCCAGGTGAGAGTCGCTCAATGTGGATGACGAGGCCCCGCCCCCCTCCCCCCGTACGCTGTCCTGGTTTTGACAAACACAAATCTGGTCACACTGACCTGTATTCACCTGAGTCATGTCTTTTAATCCAACACAAGTTGAACCACATCAGCGACACAAGAGCTGGAGTTTTATCTTCACTTAGTTTATGTAAATTAGTGATGTGGTTTTAAGTTTTGTTTCTGTGAGATTTGAACAAAACTGAATTAAACACATTATAATGTCAAACAGCTGATGTGGCTCTAGAGTCGTTATGTTTATATGTCGTAAAGTTGAATTTATTTATGCAGATTAGTGCAGATAGTAATAATAATGATGATCATTTTAATATAAAAACGTTCATGATTAATCGATAATCGATTGTTAATTCTCCCATCGATCGATTAAGAACATTTCATCGAATGCCCGATCACTAGTCCAGAGTCTGACTAGAACTGAAGTAGAGCCCTGCACCCGACATTTTCTTAACAAAAACAGCTTCTTTCGCTCTCCTCTCAAACCAATTCTTTTCTCTGGTTAAAATCTGTACCTCGCTGTCCTCAAATGAGTGTCCCGTGGATTTTAAGTGGAGATGAACAGCAGACTGAGGTCCTGTGTTGTTCTCTCGTCTGTGTTGGTTCATCCTCTTGTGAAGTGTCTGTTTAGTTTCTCCACTAAACGGAGTAGAGCACGTTGTTTTGTTTGTGGCTCGGTGTTTTGTCCTTTAGATCAGTTTCTGTCTTAGAGTGTTTGTAGGTTTGAAATAGACCAGGATCTCATGTTGTCTGAAGATCCTCTGTATTTTTTCAGACACACCAGCCATGTTCGGAATAGTTCCCCCCTTTTCTCCTGGGTTCTGATTCTCTGTTGTCTTGTTTTTTTAGTTCTCTTGGTTTTGCTGAAGGTCCAGTTTAGATCTCCACACACAGAGAGGACTTTCTGCACATGTTGTTCTTCTTTCTCCTTTCCCTCTGTGAGCGACGTCTGACTCCCTCAGAACACTTCTGTACAGTCTGTGATAAAAAAAATAAATAAAAAAAACAGGTGATTTTGTGTTTGTCGTGTTTCAGGTGCGTCCCCGAGTCCAGTGCAGTGGACGTGAAGACAGAAGAGTGGACAGAGCTTCTCCGCAGACACCGTGAGCACAGAGGGGACAAGACAAAGGGACGGGACCTCAGCGACGAGACAGACGGAGACACGGACCACTCCTCTGACCCCGACCAAGACTGGAGAGCTCCTTTCAGCTGTTCGGAAACCAATGGACGCTTCAAACGGGTCCGGACCAGAGCGAGAAGCAGCATCTCCCCGAACTCGAGTCTGTCCCCCGAACACGAGCGAGCCGAGGGGACCAAACGCACAAAACATGATTCACCGAGACGTGTTAGAGTGAAACCTTACAGCTGCTCAGTCTGCAAGAAAACCTTTTCCCAGAAGACGAGCCTGCGCGTCCACAAGAGGACGCACACGGGGGACAGACCGTACAGCTGCTCAGTCTGTAAGAAAACGTTCAGTCAAAAGAATAACCTGGTCGTGCACTTGAGGACGCACACGGGGGACAAACCCTACAGCTGTTCGACGTGTAAGAAGCGTTTCTCGCATCCGTCCGGGCTCATTTATCATAAAAGGACACACACGGGAGAAAAACCTTACAGGTGTCCGGTGTGTGGGAACTCTTTCACGCACAAGATGATCCTGAACGTGCACATGAGGACGCACACGGGGGAAAAACCTTACAGCTGTTTGGTCTGTGACACGCGCTTCACTCAGAGCTACAACCTGAAACGACACATGAGGAGCCACACTGAAGTGAAGTCTTTCAGCTGTTCGTTCTGTGGGAAAACTTTCGCCCAAAAGTCTGACCTTTACGAACACGTCAGGACGCACATCGGAGACAAACCTTTCGGCTGCTCGGTCTGCGGCAAACGCTTCATCTCCAACGCTCATCTGAAACGACACGCGAGCAGCCACACCGGACACAGATCCTACAGCTGCTCGGTGTGCAAGGAAGACTTCGCCGATTCCTCCGGACTCAAACGTCACAAGGAAACGCACGACGAAGAAAAACCCCACAGCTGCTCCGTCTGCAAGAAAAGATTCACCCGCAAGTCGAACCTGGAGGCGCACGGACGGATGCACGCGGGCGAGAAACCCTACAGCTGCTCGGTGTGCGGCACGAGCTTCATCACCAGCTCGAATCTGAAGAGGCACATGAGGAGCCACTCGGGGGCGGCGTCTTACGGCTGTTCGGTCTGCGGCGCGCAGTTCGGCCTGAGCTCGTCTCTGGTCAGACACATGAAGAGCCACGCCGAGGACAGACCTTTCGGCTGTTCGGTGTGCGGTATTCGGTTCATCCTGAAGTCGTCTCTGGTCAGACACACAAGGACGCACGCGGCAGAGACGTGAACGCGGCAGAATCCAAACCGCTTCACTTGCGACGCCAGAGTTTCACAAAGTTTTTTTTCCGGGGACTCATATTTTAAAAGTCTCAAAGTCCATAGACGTTATTCATAAATCACAAAATAAAGGTGGATTTTTTTCATTATTGAACATTAACGAGGAGATTTTATTGTTTTCTTAATGATCGAGTCTCTGAACATTTATTTCGGTGGTGCTCAATACGTCGATCCAAATGACTTTACATCAATTAAAAATTTACTTTTTACTGCAAGTTTTTTTTTAAATCTACCTTGATAAAGTTGATATTTAATATTTAGTGTTTGGATTTTAAGGATCTTAGCAGGAATAAAGTCTGATGGTTCATTCTAACATGTTAAACCTGAACATATTTCAATTATTCACTTGATTCAGCATCAGTCTACGGCCCTCGATCAGTCTCGGCTTCGTCTCTCTTTAGATATTTGGCCCTTGTTGAAAAAAGTTTGGACACCCCTGATCTAAAGACTCTAAACCAGGAGAGTCAAACTCATCTTGTTCCGGGGGACGTGTCCAACCGACTTTGATCTCAAAGTGTCTGGATCAGAAAACTCATGTCATATAAACCTCAAAAATAACAATAAGTTCAAATATTTGTGCAGAGAAACACAAATCTATTACAGAAATCTTTTTGAATTGATGAACTCTTTCTTTTACAAAATATTATAATATTATGAACAACCTGAAACTTTAAGAAAAATACAATTTCAACACAAAGTTTGAAACATGAACTTGTCTGTAAACAGGAACAAGTCCATTTTTGTTGGCAAAATCCTGCACTCGGCTCCACTTTTCTCATGTTGGACATTTTTCTGATGAGGGTGTCACGGTCAACAGTCAAAACGATCGTCCTTTAAGAGCGTTTGGAAAGAGACAAGTCTTCACTTGTGCTGCTCTGGTGGGAGGGGCCACGTACAGAGACGCTGGAGACGCTGCTGTGATAAACACCACAGAAAATTAACATTTTAATAGAAAATATAATAAAAATATTTTAGTAGAAAATCAGCCGAGGGCCAGATTAAAGGTGTTGGAGGGCCGGATCTGGCCCCCGGACCGTATGTTTGACACGTTGATTTAAACCTTCACGCTGCAGCTCCTGAGTGTTTTTCTCCCTCCTGGTGTCGAGCAGCAAATGACACAACAAATGACAAGAGACGAAATACGGCTCCAACAATAATTACAAAAAGATCAGAAAAGATACAAAACATGTTTAAACATTTGAACATTTGAAGTGTCAGAGCTGAATATTTCAGATCTAAATGCAGATCGAGACAAGACGACACAAAAAAACCAAATCTCTTGTGACTCACTTGAAAATCACGACCCCGTGTTTGAGAAACTGTGTCAGTAAACCTCATCACCTCACTGACTTAACACCTGTAACAGCAGCGCCCTCTAGTGGAGCCTGTGTGTTTGTGCGTCTGTCTGTGTTTGTGGATTTGTCAAAGTCTCAAAAATATGTCACTGGAAATCTGAGAAATCATGTAATTGTGTAAATTTTCAGTTTTACAAATGTATTTATTTTGTATTTATTTATTTTATTTTTGCAAATGAAAAGTGATATTTACAAACACACATCTGTTTGTAAACGACCAAAACACAAGTGACAAATATTAAAATTTCATTTGTGAATCAAAACACACGAACAAACCAAAGAATATTTGTAAATCAAACTCTGTGTTTGTGAAGATTCAGGAGACAAAAGTGACTCCAAAATCTCCATGAACAGAAACTTGGTGCTTTGTATCTTTTTTTTTTTTTTTTTTTTTTTTTTTTTTATTACATAGACACACATATATACACATACACATATGTAAGCATCTACATACATACATTCCTATCAACATATACCTACATATACGTACATATATATACACATTAACACATCCATATATACACATATATACAGCCACATATACACACATATACATATACATATATATATACATACATATATATATATATATACACATATATATATATATATATATATACACACGCGTACACATATACATACACACATACGTAAGCACACACACACATCTATACACCTATACATACATAATATTTACACTCTTAATAATATAATGTTCTTCTAAACAGTTAGATGGAATGTCAAAAATGAATCAGTTAGTCACAATACCTTTTCTTAAGAATACATGTGTGTATGTATGTATGTATAAACATACACTTAACTAAACTTTTGTCTCTCATAAAATTTGCCCTTTAATACTGACAATTTTGACATTCCAAACCACTCCAGGGCAGCAAACATCTTATATGAGCAGGTGGTCTGTACGTGTACATTATACATTCAAATTAATAACATTCAATAATATTTAATATTTAAATATACACATACTGAAGGAATACCAATGATAATTTACTAAGTGTGGTACTGTCCTTCTTAAAAGGTTTCCAGGCTTGCCAATATGGGATACCAAAGTTCTTGAAAAATGTGTCCATAATTATTTTTTTCGAGAGTTAGTTTTTCCAAAGGTAGAAATTCTGACAATTGACTCGTAAATAGCCTAAATGTAGGAGGTAAATCATCTTTCCAGAGTAGTAATATACATTTCTTTGCAAAATATGTTATAGTAATCAATATTCTACATTTATTTTTATCTAAGTGAAGTTGTTGTGTGTCATTTAACAGATATATATTTGGCTGAATATCAAAAGTTTTTTCCAAGGCCGTTTGTGTAAAGGAGTGAATGATATTCCAGTAATTTTTTAAAAGATTACAATCCCAAAACATGTGTATATATGTTCCATCCTTTACTTTGCAACGGGGACATTTTGTAGAAATATCTTTTGATATTTTATTCATTTTCACAGGTGTAAGATAATATTTATGTATAAATTTAAAATTTGCTTCTTTAATTTTATTACTGGTGAATGGAAAATATATATTTTCACACATTATTGACCAAGTGTTATCTTCTAAAGTTAATTTCAAATCCTTCTCCCATGTCTTCTTTAATCTCTGGAATGATGATTGACCTTCGTTTGAAATAATATTGTAAAATTTACTTATATTCCCCTTTATTGTCTGTGCTATTAGCAAATGATCTTCAATTTCTTTTAATTCAGTGCGAATCTTCTTTGTTTTTATAAGTGAATGGACAAAACTTCGGACTTGTAAGTATTTAAAGAAATCTTTATTAGATATACCATATTCTGTCCTTAAACTAATGAATGATTTAATTTCCATATCTTCCTTGAACAGATCCTTAAATTGTTTTATACCATAGTTTGTCCATTCATTTATATTATTCAATATTTTATGGTTGTTTAAGTCTGGATTTTAAATAAATAGGGGAATGTATGGTGCACTTAGTAATATCAAATTTCATTCTACAGTCTTTCCATGCTTGTAGTGTATTAATAATACAGTAATTCGTCTGTATGCTTTTTATCTTTTGAAATTGATGTGTGAAAATAAAAGAGCTTAAGGCTAGTGGTTTAGTAGTTTCACATTCAATTTCTGTCCACTGAGAGTCATGTCTTTCTAAAACCCATGAAATCAAATTTCTTATCTGCGCAGACCAGAAGTAGAATTGAAAGTTGGGTAAATTTAAACCTCCCATTGATTCTGGTTTCATCAATGTAACCAAACTTATTCTGGGCTTTTTATTACTCCAAATAAAGTTTGTAAGATGTCTATTCAATGACTTAAAAAAATCCAATGATAAATAACAGGGTAACATCTGGAAAAGAAAATTAAACCGCGGAAGAATATTCATTCTGATAACATTTATCCGTCCTAGTAAAGAGAGTGGTAATGAGCTCCATTTTACCAAGTCTGATTTGACACTCTGTAACAGTGGCATATAGTTAGCTTTGTACAGATCATTTAGGTTTGGAGTAATAAAAATGCCCAGATAATTAAAACCATTAGGAGTCCAGTTAAATTTACATGATGTTTGCATTTTTTCTGATGGTGTCATGTGTAAGAGAGTAGCATTAGATTTTGTGTAATTTACCTTATATCCTGAGTATATTCCAAATGTGTTTATTGTTTTCTGTAACTCTAGAATGGATTCTTCTGGATTGGTTATATATAAAAGAATATCATCAGCATATAAGGATATTTTATGTTCATTTCCATTAATTTTTAAACCTTGGATATTATGATTACTTCGTACACATGACGCCAATGGTTCAATTACTATTGCGAATAATAATGGAGATAATGGGCATCCCTGCCTTGTCCCTCGACTTAGCGAGAAATAGTCAGAGCGGAATCCATTAGTTATAACCGCTGCTTGTGGATCGATATAAATCATTTTCACCCACTCAATAAATTCAGAACCTAAGTTAAATTTTTGTAACACCGAGAATAAAAAATTCCATTCAACTCTGTCAAAAGCCTTCTCTGCATCTAATGACAGAATCAGAGAAGGCTCCTGGTTATTGCTGAAACAATTGATCACATTCAAAACTCTCCTTATATTATCAGCTGCATAACGGCCCTTTATGAACCCCGACTGATCTGCTTTGATCAGTTTCGGTAAAAGTGTTTCCAGTCTTCTTGCTAATAGTTTAGTAACTATTTTATAATCATGATTTAATAGACTTATAGGCCTATAAGATGAACATTGGGTGGGATCTTTTCCACATTTATGTATTACACTAATATGGGCCTGGTTCATTGATTGTGGTAGTATCTTTTCTCTGCAGATATATGTGATCATGTCCATAAAGATAGGTTTAAGATCTAACCAGAATTCTTTATAAAACTCTATTGAAAAACCATCTGGACCTGGACTTTTATTAGGGGACATTGAGTCCATTGCACTTATAATTTCTTTTTCAGTAACTGGGGCATTTAATTGTTGGCGGTCTTGTTCGGATAATTCAGTAAGGTTAATGTTATCAAGATATTTTTCCAGTTCTTCTTTTGAATTTTCAGATTGTGATTTGTAAAGTTTTTTATAAAATTTGGTAAACGCATCATTTATTTCTTTTGGATGATAAGTTAGTTTGTCTTCTCCATGTTGAATGGAATTTATTGTTCTTTGAGCCTGCTCATTCTTTAATTGATGAGCCAATAATTTACTTGCTTTATTACCATATTCATATTCCTTTTGTTTGGTAAAATTCATTTTTTGTATTATATCATTAGAAATGTCAATATTAAGTTTAGTTTTAGCAATGTTTAATAAATTCCAATTGTTCTCTGTTGGAGTATTTTTATGGAATGTTTCATATTTTTTAACTTCTTTTTCCAATTCTTTCCTTTGTCTACGTTTCTCCTGATTTATGAAAGAGTCATATGAAATTATAAGTCCTCGAATAGTTGCTTTTGCTGCCTCCCATATAATGTTCGGATTTATAGTTATAGAGTCTTTATTTTCATCTATATAATTTTTTATCCATACTCGCATTTTTGATTTAAATGAGTTGTCTTTTAATAGTGAAGTGTTAAATTTCCATCTTTTAATGAAAACATTTTTAATTTTCAAATTTAATACTAACTGAATCCTTGAGTGATCTGAAAGGATAATTGGATGTATTTTACAATCACTTATCATGTGAATATATCTTGCAGGTATAAGGAAATAATCAATACGAGAGTAGGAATTATGAACATTTGAAAAAAAGGTATAGTCTCTATTATCTGGATTTAACTCCCGCCAAACATCTATTAGGCCAGTTTCGCTACATAATCCTTTTAACATTTTTGAAGATCTAGGGTTTGAACCTTTTACCTGATTAGATTTATCATTTGGGGTCAGTGTTAAATTCAGATCTCCCCCTAATATGCCTAATCCTTTACAGTTTTCATTAAACAGAAGTACCATGTCTGAGATAAATCTAGGCTCATCAGAGTTGGGCGCATAAACATTTAGAAAAGTGATTGGAATTTCCCTAATATTCCCTGCTATTAATACGAATCTGCCATTTGGATCTGTAATCAACTTTTCTAAGACAAATGGAATATTTTTTGTTTAATAAAATGCATGTTCCTCTACTGTGTGATTTATATGAAGAAAAATAAGTTTGACCTATCCAGTCCTTTTTAAGTTTGTTGTGTTCCTTGTCTGAAAGATATGTTTCTTGCAGGAATATTACATCTGCTTTATCTTCTTTGAGGATAGATAATATTTTCTCTCTTTTTAATACCGCACCTAGTCCTTTAGTATTCCATGAGACAATATTCATATCAAACATGGTACCTTCTGCTCATTTCAGATTGTACATTAAATGAATTCCTTAAGATGTTGCTGCTTTGGAGAGAGAAACGTACAACTTGCAAAAAGAGTGTAAAAGTTTGAAAAAAAAAATAAAAAAAAGAACAAAAACCCACCCAATCCCTTTTTGTAATAGGTCAGAGGGAACAAAGACCATTTAGAGAAAAAATAAAAAAAGAAAGTAAAAAAAAAATATAGAATGTTGTATAAAAAGAAAATACATAGAACATTGTAGCTTTGGCAGCTTGGAGCACCTTCCTCCGTTCTAATAGATACTGGTCTCTGGGACCTATAAATGAATAAATAAATAGTTTCATCAAGAGTATTCAAATAAAGTTTAATTGTAAGGTCAAGGGAGGCAGGTCCATTTCTAATATACATATAATATACACAGAACTTATTTAATGCCTCCTCCCCTTTCCCTCTTATCTTCCACCCGGTCCCATTATCCAGTTAACCTTCATTTATCTTATCCTTATTGGGTATAATTTTACTTAAAGAGAGGGGAAAAACATCTTACTCCTCTATCTCATATTTGTTTTAAGGTAACTCATATTTCTAGCGCTTGCTTTTAGCGCCCCCCATGAACGGACATGATGGTATCGCCCACTTTCGCGTCATCCTTTGTTTCCGGAAATAATACAGTGGGTACCATGATATTCCAGTTCATATAAACGTCACTTTTATGTGAAAAGAAAACTTGTCTTAAATAATTATCTTAGTTCACCAATGGGGGCGTGTTCTTAGCATTTATGCATCTTAAGACAGTTTTACCTCGGCTCGTTCATACTTTCAGAACCTGGACTTTATTGCCCCACCTCTGTCTGCTGTGCATCCACCTGTTTGTCCTCCAACTTCTTGATGAAGTCTTGAGCATCCCTGGGATTATCAAAAAGCACAACAGAGCCGCGATGCCAGACACGAAGCCGGTGTGGATACGCAAATCCTCTAAACTTTCCTTCTCGGATGAGATATTCAATGATATCGGAGAATTCCTTCCTTTTGCGGCGAAGTTCTGCTGAAAGATCTTGACGCAGGGTAAGTTTTGCATCCCCTTCTCGTAGTTGAGTTGATTTCTTTGCAGCCTGAAGTATCATTTCTCTGTCTCTGAAGCGTAGAAATCGGATCAAAATTGGTCTCGGTGGTTTGCCGGGGAGAGGAGCCGGCTGCAGGGTGCGATGGGCACGTTCCACCTCTAGCGGCAACTCCAGGGTTAGATTGAGCCATCTTGGTAGCATTTGTTGCACATATGTAGTTATTTGTTGGCCTTCAGATTGTTCAGGGAGACCCATCAATACTAAGTTTTTTCTCCGCCCTCTGTTCTCTAAGTCATCCGACTTAGCTTCCAGCGTTTTAATTATATTCTGAGCTCGATGTAGTTCACGTTTTGTCGCGTTTAGCGTGTCCTCCAAGTCGGAGATCCTTTGTTCTGTAGAATCCAAACGTGTTTGATGTTCCTTGAGCTCGGTATTAGTTTTTGCCAATCCGTTTTTAATGTCCAAAACCTCAGAGGTGACTGTGTTCATACGTTTGTCAATGCCGTTAAGGCGGCCATCGATGCCATCCAAACGAGTTAGAATATTTTGGCCTTGTGATTTTAATTCTGCCATAATATCCGCCAGATCGAGTCTTTCGTCCTCGTCCTCTTTATTTCTGGCTCTGGTTGGTATGGGATCTCTAGTTTTGCCTTTACTTTTTCCTTCGTCTGGCATGATTTTGATAAGATGTTGTAGTAGAGACGTACTACAACTTCAGATGAGAAAAAAGAAACTTTAGAAATAGGATAAAGCTATGAAAAAAATTACTTAAACACGGAGGAAGTGTGGAGCTCTCAGATCAAGCAGCCATCTTGTTCCCACAACAACCTCCACACACCCAATTCTTTTGTCTTTAACTCCGCCCGTGAAAACGTTTTTCCCAAACCTCCGCTCTGCCCTTCATTACAGACAAGATTAAAATAAAAAATATTGCCCCCGCTGTATGCAGTCAGAGTGCATGCACGAAAATGAACAGCTGTTGTACACAGGCCCAAGGACTGATTCAATAAATAAAAAAAACTATTTGGGGTTTGTTTGACCCACGAGGAGAGTGGGAGGATTAAACTGGAGCATGTAACCTGTGTGTGTGTGTGTGTGTGTGTTGTGTGTGTGTGTGTGTGTGTGTGTGTGTGAGTGTGTGTTTTGTACTTTTTGCCCAGATATCAAACATTTTTTCTACTAAGTTTAGTCCTGGTTTAGTCTGGGTTTAGTCCTGGTTTAGTCCTGGTTTAGTCCTGGTTTAGTTCTGGTTTAGTCCTGGTTTAGTTCTGGTTTAGTCCTGTTAGTCCTGGTTTATCCTGGGTTTAGTTCTGGTTTAGTCCTGTTTAGTCCTGGTTTAGTTGTTTAGTTCTGGTTTAGTCCTGGTTAGTT